TTAATGACTTACTTCATAGTTTCCCCTATGATTATAGGCAAAGGCAATTACCCCAGAGTGCTGAGCTTGTGTGGACCCAAAGAGGTTAGCTGCTAATTATTAAACTATTCCTCAAAGCCTTAAATAGAATAATAGAAGATTATAGTACATATATCATCCAAGACTAGACGTATGAAAGACTATAAATACAGAGAATGTACTTTTTTAAAAAGAAAAAATAGCTACTTAATCCTGCCATGCCATGGACTATGCAGATAAGGTGCTTGTGGTCCACCAGCGCAGTTGAACAGCTTGCAAACAATGCAAATAAGGTGCATGGCGCCCTGCAGATTTGGGAACATGCTAATATGGTGTATGGAACCCTAACAAAGGGATTAGTCAGTTTTGCCATCCTGCTAGGCTTAAAATGAACCAATCCCAGAACAGAGAGGACATCCTCTCAGATCAAGAGGATCTGGGAATAGAACATGTCCTTTGGACCTGTGGTCACTGAGCTGAGAAACAACTAGACCCAGGAGAAATATCTCTAATACTGGGCATGATGTGAGATGACATGAAGCAGGCACCAGAACAGTGGCAGCAGAACCAGGAGACCAACAGGAGACGGCAGTGGGCTTCCCAGCCCATGGGAGCATTACAGTGGGTATGCTGACCCATGAAGCAAGAGAGCTGAGTGCCTTGTAGAGGAGGCTTCCTGGCAGAGGGGGTGTCTCTGGGCATTTGTCAGTGAAGCTAAAGAACTTCATAACCCTTGACTGTGCAGGGCAAGGGCAAGGCATAAGGCCCCAAGGGCCAAAGGAGAGGACTGTCTGCAGGCACAGCCAGAAAGCTGTCCTGACCCAAGTATCCTGGGTTGTTCCTGATCTGGAACGGTAACCTGTTACTTCGTAATACAACCCACCCACATCAAAAAAGCAAACTCACAGCGATCCCATAGGGCTGGATAGGATTTCCAAGGCTTGAATCTGTACAGAAGCAGGTTGCCACAGTTTTCTCCTGTGAAGTAGCTGGTGGGTTTAAATAGTCAGCCTTTTGTTTAGCATATGAGTGCTTAACCAATGTGCCACGAGGGATCCTTAATAAATACCATAGTTGTACTGTCTGTGAATTCTGTGTGACCATTACAACAAATTATTGAACCCAGCAAAAAGTGGTGTGCTGTGGAGAGATGGCTGCTGTCGGACTTGGTGAACAGGCCGGAGGGTTCAGGTCTGTTGGATGTCCACCTCATAGGGAGCACTCTTGGACTGATGTTGACCAAATTCACTTCCCTCTTGAAGGCAGAGGATGATGTCGCCACGCCATTTTTACTTGGGTGAAAGCATTAGACTCTCTGGCCTGGTGATGTTTTAACAGTGAATTATATAACAGACTCCTTTGTTCTGTTTCTGTGCACCAGGCAGTCTTCTTAGGATAAACTGACACCTAGTACATTTGTCTTCTGAGAGAACCTGCTGCCCCTACCAGTTCAAGTACTTTTATTCTTTAAAGCAGTTTTTTTTTTTTTTTTTGCTATGAATTATTAAATAGATACTATGAATTGGGTATTTTTACAGAGCAATGACAAAAAGCGGGGTTTTGAGTCAATAAGGCCAAATGTCAAGCCACCTGGTTAATTCACCACTGTCAAGCAGGTCCGGGAGTCGCCCAATCATAGCTGTCTGGCTAAGCTGTCTTCAAAGCTACATCAATTACAAGATTACAAAAATACACTGTTCTTACACATATGATCCTTCTTTCAGTTGGTTTAAAAACTGTACATGTCTACCTCTGGGAAATATTCATATGGAATAATATGAGAGGACTTTAAAAAGTACGTTGAAGAATGGAATGAAAGGTAAAGATAATGGAATTTTTCACAAACTTTTTAAACTCCCCTTAAATAAGATCCTATTTATTTTCTTGACTGCATTTCAGGGTCTTATTGTATGTTTAAGATATATTGATGTACTCCATCACTCCGTTGTTCCAAATTTCTTAATATCCGGTATCTTATATTTCCAGATTTAAAGCAATATTCAAATGTTGTACTAAATGTCAGATGGATCCCCGTTATTCAGCCTTAAGTATTATTGGCAAACTACACAACTAACACACAAAGCATTTTTTGTGATATGTAAAATGTGTTTTAAGCCTTTTAAAAATAGCATTTGAATGATATGATTGTCTCAGCATGGCCACCTACACAACATTTCACCCACAGATTCTCCCGTCACACAAGCCAACTCTCACAACAGTAAGCCTTAGGAAGGCGCCTAGCATAAGCAATACCGAAACAAAGCGTTCTGTCATGCTTAATAATTGTACACCGATGAGGTGTGACGTACAAGCCGGACTTTCAACCACCTGTGAAGGGCTGAGCGATATGACTGAAAGGTCATTTAAACTGCTTTAGAGCCTGCAGAAAAGAGAAGGAAGAAAGGAGGGAGATGGGAAAGAGGAGGAGGAGATAAGGGAGAGTGAGAGAAGGGAGGAAAAAGAAGATCTAAGAGTTATTTCTGCATTGCTTGGTAAGGATTAGAATTATTATCAGTGCCATAATTAATCCCAAATCAAATGAATACAATATAAGCCCACCAAAAATGTCACGTATGTAATACTCTAAACTGTTTAACTTCTCACAGGACTCACAAAAACCAAAACTGTTAACTCTTTTTTACTTTCTTTAGCTATTTTTATTGCGATTGTTAGGAGTCCCTGGGTAATGTAAATGGGTAACACATCCCACTTCTAACCAAAAGATTGGAGGTTCAAGTCCACCCAGACACATGTCAAAAGAAAAGCCTGTTGATCTACCTTAGAAAAGCCAGCTACTGAGCATACAACGGAACAGTTCTACTATCACACAAGCAGTCACCAGGAGTCTGGGTTAACGCCGCTGGCAACTGGCTGGTTGGCTTGTTTTGTGATAGTTTGTTCCACTAGACCCGCTGGCCAGCGCTGAAATCAATCCGTCCACAGCCTCTTCACTTTGTCACAGGGGAGGCCAGGGGAGGCCAGGGGAGGCCCCGGGCTCTCGTGTCCCTGGGGACTCTCAGCAGACTGATCTATTATTCACACCCACATTTTAGACTAGACAAACTGCCTCTGGGGAGGTGAACCTGGTGAGCACAAGCATTGATACAGTTGGTACATTTACATCGATAAACAGACTAATATAAAGAGCAGTCGACTATAACAAAATGTTCAAGTTTTACTTTTGTTTACAGAGATGAAACAGTCATGATCATCATAATCATCATAATCAAAATAAGTCTGAACAAAAGGCACGCTGATATTTTAATTGATATATGTAAAGGCAACCTGGTGTGGCGCTGTAGGATCAGCACTGGACTGCTAACCACAAGGTTGGCAGTTCAAACCCAGCAGCCATTCCTCGTAAACCCTACACAGGGTTTCTATGAGTGAGAACTGACTCAACAACACTTAATAATAACAACAACATATAAAGGTACAGACCTTAATTGAGTGCACTTTAGGTAGGGGTAGGGGAGAACTAAGCTCCTAATATTACAATGCAAAGAGACCTGTAAAACACTGATATTCCACTTCAAAGAGGAAATACTTGAAAATTGGTCTTATGAAAAGTTCTAAATGATGGTGATAATTACATGCTAACACAACATTTTGGGAAAATCTTAATAAATGTAGCTCAGGAAAGCAAGAATGCCTTAATTCTCAGTCTGCCATTCCCTCTTTGTCCCTTATAATAAAAGGGATTCTTCAGAATGCCTCTATCCCTTTGATCCCATCAGAGAGCGGAAAAAAAAAAAAAGAGTTTGATTCTGAAGGGAATCTATCAACAACATGTTCACTTTTAGACGATTCTGCCATGTTTCCTTTATTCAGACCTGTGTTTTGGTCTCCTTTCTACAGGGTCAAGACAAACATTTCATCCTTCATTTCATTCTGGAGTTTAGTATCAAAAAAGATTTGTCCTTTGCAAGAAAATCGTTTTAAATGGATATCACAAGAGGCTCAATTTCATCATATAGACATATAGGCTCAATTTCATCATAGAGACAGCTATGAAATTGAATAGACAGCTATTCAATTTCATCATATAAAAAATATAGGAAGTAATTTTAATTCTTAATCTTTGTATATATATATATATAAATCTGATACAAATGATTTTATGAAATGGTTCTCTTTATCACAGTTATTAAATAGTTGGTTCCCCAGTAGTGGGACTCAAGGCTGTGCACAGATGGCTCCTTGGTTTGATGCTAAAGAAATGTCTTGTCTGTATGAGTATGGGGGAGACATAAAGGGCTCTAGAACCTTATGGTCTTATGTAATCTCCCCAAACCTCAATTCCTTTATCAGTAAAAGGAAGGAATAGAAATAGATTAGCATTTTCCAAGGAATGTATCTAATGACAAAGGGTTCTGTGGACAGATTAAACTGGAACCTGCTGCCAACTGCATCTCCCTCAAGGAGATTCATGATGTGCATTAGCAATATTAAAGGTTTTGATTGATATTTCACTTTATATCAAACTTAGTTGACCTCAGAATTCCTTTATGAACATCTATTAGAATTCCGTAGACTATACTCTGGGGCCCACATTTCTCTGGTCTCTTCCAGAACTTACACTGATGAAATGCAGGAAGAGCCAGGTTGGCCCTTTGATGCAGGTTTTGCAGACTGACTGAGAGGATTGAAAGGACTGGTGTTGACAAAGCACCTGTTCATGCTAACTGGCTCCTGGAAAAACACAGCTCCCTTGTTCCTAGTGAAAGTTCCTTGTTTCATTCAAGGCAAGTGGGAATGACTGTCACAGAATCATGGTGGTCATCTGCAGCACAGTAAGCAGAACTTGCCAAGAATTAGGTTAGTTCAATATAATTTCCTTTTTCTTTCCAGTATGACTTAATTTTTCTCCACAGCAAATGCTTTTACCACTGTTCCCCAGAACAGTTCTGGCCAGCTTTAATAGGTTCCCACTCTTTACCCACTTCCTTGTCTAGAATGAATTTAACTTGCAAGCGGCTCTTTCAAGTAGTGCTCAGGTTAAAGAGCTGCTCTTCCAAGAAGGCACCCCCAAGGCCATACTGTTCTTCATGCAGATGGATTTCTTCAGGGGACAAGTGGTTTGCTCCAAGAACAAAGTCTGCAAATCTAATAAATTAAAAAAAAAAAAAAAAAAACTCTTATTATCACAGACAAATGTTATGTGGATGACAACATGTTCCCTTGATACTTATCTCCTTTAATTAAATTTGACTTTGAGTCAATAGAGGATGGCATTTACACAGTGGGCAGAAAACTGAGACTGGTGTATGTGATCCTCCAAGAGACAGCTATTCAGAGGGTGGAGGAGGCTGACTTAGACATACTTGGTGTCGCCAAAGGAGCCCATGCCTGCTTACTACTTCCATGTCTTTTTTTTTTTCACTAGTCTTGATTTGTTATTATTATTGCTATGATTACTGACAGTACTTTTGCCCTTTGATCTTTTATTAGAGGGCACTGGTATTTGGACTGATTTATGAAGATGGGAATGTCTTTGTTGGTGAATTTAAAGAGTTTTCTACACCAGAATAAGAAATAAGTTATGTATCCCATGCCACCGTTCTCTTCCACTAATAAGCGCTATCTTTATGGACTTCTCTATTAAGAAAACCCAGCAGATCAACAGTTAATCTGACATCAGCAGTTACATCTCTTGCACAAGAAAATGGAAGAAAACAGGAACTCCTTCTCCATTGTCTCTGGCCCAGGGAAGTTGTCTGTCTCTAATCTGAAATATCCCTACCACACCACTAGATTATCTTCCAAATAATTCTTAGCTATGCTGTGATTCTAGCAACTGAACCAGGTGTATGAACAAGTAAGTGCGCTTTTACTTTGTAGGAGCCTTGAGTCTGGAAACAGCCAGCCAGGATGGGAAGTCGGGCCTTCTGCAGGCTTGGCGCAGTTCCTCCAGAGCACGGGCCGTTTCGGCATCAGCTTGTTCCCTGTATTCTTCATCAGTAAGAAATTTAACCACCAGTTTTTCTGATGTAAACCAGCTCTTCATTTTCCTAAAACATGCAGTATTTAGTTCCTAAATTCCTGATCATATTTGATTGCTCAATTTAATAAGATTTATAGAAATGTATCTCTTAGGTAGCAGAGTAGTGCTTTTTTAAAATTTCCTTTATATAATACATTTACTTTTGTACTGCTGTTATCCTTCCTGTCTGAGTATACAGAACCTATAAAACCTGTCACAAGCAAGTCAACTACCACTCATGGTGACCTCACATGTTTCAGAGTAGAAATGCACACCATAAGACGTTCAAGGCTGTGGCCTTGCAGAAATGGAGTCCCATGCCTTTTTTCCAAGGTACCTGTGAGTGGGTTCAAACTGTGAACCTTTAGTTAGTAACCCAGTGCTTAATTGTTAGAGCCACCAGAGACTCCCTGTAGAATCTATAGTTTGGAACTAATAGTACACTTTGCTTTTCCTAGATTAACATAACTGATGTTATGTTCTAAGGTGTTTAAAAATGGACATTTGGTAATACTAGCTGTATTTTTCTTCTTCAATGATTTCTAAACACACAGTTAAAAGTCAGGCTTCTTTATGCTTGGTCTGCTGATTTCCTTAGCATGAACACACCAGGCATTCCTTGGAAACTCTATACAGGGTCACTATGAGTCGGAACCAACTCTACAGCACTTAACAATTAAAGCAAGCCTTTGGAGATTTCTGTTAAAAGAGACCCAGTGGAATCACTCACCACTTACTCCCTAGACTGAAAAGCCAGAACATTTGTGGGATATCGCTTCCACCTAGTGGTGAGGTTGCTGTCTCTAATCCTAGAGACAGGGAGTAAATATTGTACAGGGTGTTTTATGTACAGTAATTTATCATTACCCTTCCTTCCCCAAATAACAAGGGGCTCGTGACTGGAATATTTTTTTTCTAACCAGGAAAATTCCAAAGGGAATAATTCCTTAAAAGCAGTAATAATGATGATATTTTAAAATTAAGTTACATTTATCAATGAGTTTTTAAATAGTTTTAGATTTATTTCAATCAGAGATTCCCAAATCTAAAAAAACATTAGAATTAACATGAGTTTTCTGTTTTAAATATATTATATTGAGGATTGGGACCTGAAACATTGTTATTTTATCTTTTAAAGTTCATTTGATAGTTAATAAGCTGAATTAGGGATCTACTAAACAGTATTCCCTTTTAAATTTTTGAATGCCTAGATATGGTTTAAAGAGCACTGGGGGTGCACTGGCTAAAAGCTTGGCTGCTAACAGAAAGGTTGGCAGTTTGAATTCACCAGTGGCTCCATGGGAGAAAAGACCTGCTGGTCTGCTTCCATAAAGATTGCAGCCTAGGAAACACTATGAGTGTTCTTCTCTGTCATGAGGTGAAATTAATCCGGAGGCACACAACAACAGATATAGTTTCCCTGGAGAGGACACATTCTAGTCCCTCAACCAGAGGACCAGGGTAAAGACCCAGCTTTGAGGTTCACTCACTGTGTGAGCTTGGGCAATTCCTTAGAAGTTCTGAGTCTCACTCTGCCCATCTGAAAAAAAAATGAACATACTAATACCCATCTCCTGGTGTTACTGTACTAATTAAATATGGTATTATATATAAAGTACTTAGCACAGTGAGCTGTAAGTGTAATAAAGATTTTATCCAAACAGCAACTTTAATTTATTATTTTAAAAGTATATGTAAACAGTTCTTTGCAAACTAGTAAGTACTATACAAAATCAAAGTATTATTTCTTGGGTTTATTATTTAACCTATAAAATTGTGTCATCCCCTAATTCTTCATATCATTATTCACTAGACAAGTGAAAAGGTTAGGTATAGCATCTTTTGATTATTGCTTTCATGCTAACAGAATACACAGGAAATTCTACATTGTGATCACTTTAATGAAAAAAAAAAAACTCAATAGATTTCCATTTGATCATTCTATACAATCAAATAGTTACATAATCTAATCATTCAAAGATATCTCTGAATGTTGTATCGGGCCAAGGAAGTCTGAAAGGAGTAACTTAATAGATGGAATAAAACATTCAAATGTTCTATGTCATGATAAAACTACCTACCACTCATGTTCCATCTTGCCAAGTGAAGAATTTTATAATGAATACTTACCAGATAGTCATTATTATTATGTAACTTTTAACCAGAAAAAGATATTCATTTTCCCTTGCACATTATCACCACTCTCCACTAAAAATTTTTAAAAATCACAAGTTATCTAGTTGACATTTTACACCTCTTCCCCTACTTAAAAAGGATCTTTGCTCTTGGCAGGGCAGTTGGATGGATAAACAGAAGGAAGGAGGAAGCCTATCCTAGGTCCTTAGGCCACAGAGCCAGAGGCCTCGAGGAGGCAGCCCTGGGTAATCGTGGTTGCTGCAGGCTTCTGGTGGGCAGGGCAAAGAGAGAATCAGCCAGCATGAACCCCCCTGACCAGTCCCTGCAGCCTCTAGGCTCCTCCTCCGACAGGTGCCCCGTCCTGTCAGTGGTGTATTTTCACTCTGAGACAGTGTCATATACATAGTCACCAGACCCAGAAACTTCCAGTTTCCAAAAAATTCCTGTTCCCTCAGAGCCAATTTATCTCTTAAAACATTTATTAACTTCCTCTTCCAGCCCTTGGTCTCTTTGCCTGACTCCAAGGTCTCATTAACTCCTGCCTGGGCAACAGCAATGCCTGGGACTGGTTTCCACCATCCCACTTCCCTCTCCTCATCTCTTACATCTATCCACGCTCTGCACCAGCTGGTCAGTGATATCCTTGGTATCTGATTTACCTTTTGCTTATAGAACGTATTTTCACTTTTAATTAGATTAGTTGTCAACATGGAGATTGTAAGAATTCACATTCTAATCAACAATTCAAGTTTTCCAGCCAAAGAGCCCATCCTCCCTTATGACAAGAGTCATATCTACTTGACTTACCAGATAGTCTTTATTATTATGTAACTTTTAACCAGAAAAAATATTAAAATTTTTAACTTAAGCTATATAGTAATTGCCCTCTTTTAGATTAAGCTGGACTGTAGAATTTCCCTAAATCCTCAAGATCATCTCCTTGCCTAGAGAGTATCTTTCTGTCTGGGCAGCAGATGAAGCTAACAAAAGCTCATGATGTGTAGCTTCCCACTGTGTACAGGATCTGAATAGACTCGTTAAGATGACTGTGAGGCCTCCACACCTAGCTGGCTGCATTAACAACACTGTCTGCCTCATGATGGTACCAAGCTGGGTTTCCCCCTGTCAATAAGGTTCTTACACCATCTACCCACCCAGCTATTTTGATTCATTCTTCAAGATTCCGTCCGATACCATGTCCTCAAAGTAAGCTTTCCTGAACATTCTCTGCAGTAAAGATACAGAAATTTATGTCTCTGTCTCTACGAAGTACAGCTCAAGGACCAGCTCTTTCACCTGTGCACCTAACACAAAAGCAGATGCTTGCACTGAATACTGAGGAGACTCATGAACAATAAATTGTGTTTCTTTCTGTAGTTTCAAAGGGCTGAGGCCTTCACTTAAAATACAAGAGAAGAAAATCCTAAATACAATTTATGATTCATTTCAGTTCCAAAGTCTCAGCTCATAAATATAACACATAACACTAAAACATCCTTTGGCACCAATGCCAGGAAATGCAGAATGAAAACAGAAGTTTTAGGCAACCCAAAGCCCAAGAAATTTTGTCTCTGATTTAAATACTTTCTACATGGATTTTGGTGCCCTGGTGTGGCACTGTAGGATAAGCACACCACAAGATCGGCAGCTCAAATCCACCAGCCATTCCTTGGAAATACTATACAAGATTACCATGAGCTGGAAACAACTCAATAACACTTAATAACAACAGGTCAGTTGTAATTATCTAGTATTAGTGGTGCACCTCTGAAGCATTTGTGATATGGAAATGGGGTCAGGTTCTTACTTATCTCTCCTTTCTCTCTCTCATAGTAAAAACTGCAGTTTATACAGTTAAATAGGAGATTAAATATGGGATGCCCCCAAATTCCTCCAAGTAACAAGCCCAGACATTAAATGTCAATTTACTAGATGAAAGTAAAGAAAGATGCGCACCAGCTCACATAATGGAACGCTTTCACTAGGTAGTGCAGTCTGCTCGAGCAGCAGATGAGGATCATCACGGTGTAAGCAAACTGAGGCACGGAGGTCCCGGAATAGATGAGAAGCAGCGAGAGAAGCTGCAGCACCCATGTCAGAAGGTTTTTGCTCCTTTCGTCAACAAGGGGTCCATGTTTGTAACAAACAGCAAAGCTGGAAAACCCAACTATGAAGATATAGCCTGTAAAAGCAGAAGAATATAAACTCACATGACCTTGAGCTTGAGAAGTTAATGTGTAAAACTTGGAAGAACCTTGACTTAAAGCTAAGAATGCATCACAAAGCCTTCATTTTTTTCTCCTAAGAAAACAAGGTTAAAAATTATATGTTGTTCTTTTTGTTAAGTTCTGTCAAGTTGGTTAAAACTCATAGCAACCCTATCTATATAGGGTTTCTGAGGAGCAGCTTGTGGATCTCAACTGCCGATCTTGTGTGGTTCACAGTTCCATGCTGACCCTACGGTGCCAGACTAGGTGTCTAAAACATAGCTGGAGGTGCTGTGGAGCTGGTCCCGATTCATAGTGACCCTATGTATAGGGTTTTGAGACTTTGTGGGAGCAGAAAGCTTCATCTTTCTCCTGAGGAGCAGCTGTGGGCTTGAATGTCCAACCTTGTGGTTCAGTCAGTGCTTATTCTACAGAGCCACCGTTAGTTCTCAGTGCCATGTAAGACAACGACTGACTTTTGTAATAATTATACTCTATTAGAAATGACAGTTTATAATAGGAAATTATTATGACATCTCTGTATCTCTGTTTTTCTGCCTACTGTCCTATATAGGCATGATTGCTTTGATGAGGAGAAACCCTTGGCATATGCCATCGTCTGCTATAAGCCCTATTTCTTATTTTCATTTGCTGCTCATAAAAGGAAATTTCCAGTGCAGGATCATGTTATCTCCCTTCAATCCAGTGTCCTGTCTCTCTGACTAGCGCTAAGGCTACTCTGTGACTCTGGTTGTGATCCAGTGTGAAGTGCAGATCACTTCTTATGTGTTCCACCAGAAGTGTTGAATTTGTATCTAAGCAAGACTCAGAACTACTTTCTAGGAGACAGAAGAGAGAGGAAGAGTTATATTATGCCACAAAGAAGTCATCAGAGGCAGCCAGAAAGTGGGGCATTCTAGAGGACAATATCCTGGTTTCTTCAGCATATCACTAGTAAAAAATGAACTGTTATGAAGTAAAAAGAGACTTACGGGACATAATAGATGCAAAATGTTGTTGTAGACTGTATCCTAGCTTATACAAATCATTTGTAAAGGACAATTGGGAAGTGTTAATGGTGGTAGTGGTGATGGTGGTATGTGCTACTGAGTCGGTTCTGACTCACAGTGACCCTGTATAAGGTTTCCAAGACTATAAATCTTTGCAGGAGCAGAAAGCCTCATCTTTTTCCCACAGAGCAGCTGGTAGATTTCAACTGCTGATCTTGAATTTGCAGCCCAACTTTGTAACCCACTGTGCTACCAGGGACCATAAGAAATGCTAATATGGCATGGACAATATAAATAGGTGAATTTATGTCCTTAAATAATTTTCTTAAATTTGATTATTATTCTGACTATATAGGAAAATGCCCTTGTTTTATAGAGATGCATAATGAAGTCTTTGTGTGGTGTTGTAGGGTAAGCACTGGACTACTAACCACAAGGTCAGTGATTCAAATCCATCAATCACTCTGGAAACCCTATATAGGGTCGCTATGAATCAGAACTGAATCGACTGCACTTAACAACAACAATGAAATATTTAGGGGAATATATCATAATGACTGATTTATTTAAAAAATGCTTTAGCATTTTTACAGCTCAATAAAATGAGCTGTAAACATAAAATCGTCAAGCATAAACATTAATTGCTTTTATGATGTGTTGGATCTTTTGTGAAAAGTTTAGGGATAAGGAGAAAATCAACTCTCCCATTTTCTAGCTATCTGTTGTTGTTGTTAGGTTCCAGCTATACAACAACAATAATAAAAAGATGTCTTGCTTTTGTAACAAAATAAGGAGAATGAGAGGTTTAACAAAATAAGGAGAATGAGCTTCCCTGTTTCTGAAGACACGTTTTCTTTTGTCATTTTATTTATGATTTCTTACCTTTCATACTAACTAAGAAGAAAAACCGGAGAGCCACGTTTTAGAGAATTTTTTACAAGTTATGGTAAGAACTTGACCACAATTCAGAAGCGTATGTAGTCAAAGAGACAGTCTTGTTCTTTTGATCATTACTACAGGAATAAGAAAGACATCATAGGAAAATGTTTTCAAATGAGCTAAAGTCACCAACTATGGGAATAAAGTAAGTAAAATCGTACTTTTAAGAGTACAATTCTGGACATTGAAATGCTGGAGAGAAGCTCTATCAAAATAATGCTTCTAGTTGTACTTTTCAGCTTTACCAAAATAGAAAGCATTTTTAGAAAAATTTACCTACCTAATACATAAATTCTGCTTTCAGACCACAGCCACTTCAGATCTTCCATCAACTGGCTTAAAATGTAAACTGAAGCAAACCAACAACCAACCATTAAAGCCCCAAACGTGCTATACTGTGCATGGGAGAAAATAAACAACACATTTTTTTTTTTTTGGTTCATTTACTTTTATAAAAGTTGAAGTAAACAAATAAACCTTTTGGATTATTTGTTAGTATTCTCACTACTTACAGTGTGGTCCACCAACTAGCTTGACACTACCTGGAAGCTTGTGAGAAATGCAGGTTCTCAGTCCACTACTAAAGCAAAATGTGCATTTTAACAAGCTCCCTAATGACCTGCATCCATATTACAGTTGGAGAAGCACTGCTCTAAAGAATCAATTTACCTCAAAATAATGCTGCATTGCAAGTCTTAGAGTTATCATCTAACTGCAACATTATCATCATGAATTAATATTTATTTATCCTGAACTAAATGCAGGGCATTATTTTACTGAAGGTGTTTCAGAAAGCTAATACAGAAATTCCTAGATGTGGCAATGCTGTAATTCAAGGCCCTGATAGTTCAGTGTCATGCAAGAGAAGAGAAATCTCCACTCAGCATAGACTCAGCTCCTATCACTCCAAGTAGAAACATGTTCCCAGACCAAGCCATTGCCATGGAATAGATTAGGACTCACAGTGACCAAATAGGACTGAGTAGGACTGTGCAGATTGGCATATCTTCCTTGGAATAGCTGGTCATTCAAACTGTTGATCTTTTAATTAGCAGGCAAGTGGTAAACACGACAGCACTCACACCTACTGCTGCTGAGTCAATTCCAACTCACAGCAACTCTGTAAGACAGAGTAGAACGGTTCCATAGGGTTTCCAAGGCTATAGGTCTTTACAGAAGCAGACTTCTCATCTTCCTTCCACTGAGCAGCTTCGTAGATTCAAATCACCAGCCTTTTGGTTAGCAGTGCAATGTTTAACCCATGTGCAGCACATTACAAAGGAAATAAAAATGTCTCAAAAAAACCCAAAAACATCACCAAACCTTAATACTTAGTTAAGCCTATATTTAGTAACAACTAAAATGGAATCTTTAGAAAAAGACTTAAAATCAATGTAGACAATAAAAGAATATACAAGAGTAAGTCAAATAAGTATTGCTACTAGGTTCTCAGTTCACACGTGCATGGGTTTATCCCAAACAACCGTGATTAAACATGTCTCTGTGATCGGTGAACACATGCTAACGACTTATGTCACTTGTCTTAGACTCATTAGAGTGCCTTCAATAAAAAGGTCCAATCAAAACAGCAGTTTCCAAGGCTATCTGCTGACCAGTTAAATTCAAGTCAGAAGGTTATGGCAACTGCTTTTTGGACTCCAAAGGGGTAACCTTGATGGATTTTTCTGATGGACACAGAGCAATCACTAGAACTTTAATAGGAAGAAATTTTAAGAATATTGAAAACTCTGTTGAGAAGAAGGTTAGGAAAGCTGCGTCGAGGACTTTTCTGCCATCATGACTCCTGCATATTCTTTGAGGGTAGCGAAGGCTGTCGTATGAGAATTTCCTTGGGAAACCTTGTCCCATCTACCCTACAGCTCTGATCTCATCCCTCAGATTCTTTATGTTCCCCCAATACAAAAAAAACATGTAAAAGGAAAGCAATTTGAGTCCTTCCACAATGCCAAAATTTTGATATGGTGTAAATTGAAGAGCACAGAATTCTCTGGGGAAGGGCTGGAGAGATGGTAACACTGCCCTCAGAAGTGTACAGACTTAGATGGGGGACACGTATAGAAATAAGTTTCCCATTCTGATATTTCTGTTTAATAAAGGTTTCAATGATTTTGTAACAATACTTTTTAACTTACTCTCATAGCTTGAATTAGGAGCTGTCAATCAATTCAAAGCAATTTGATACATTTTTCATATTCATGAGATGACAGTTTTCATGTTTAATCATTTGCATATAAGATGCCCACCTTTGGAATGAACCTTTTTACCAACAGCAGGACAAAGATAAATGTCATCAGAACACCTAGCACAGTCCCCGAAAAGTAATAGAAAATAGGGCTTCTGTGAAGACAAGCAGATAAAAACTATTTAAATGCCATGTAGCACTTAAAGTATTAAAAACATGTCTAACCCAATGACAGTAAAAATAAAAAATATTAATATGGCAACTCTAATAACTCTTATGTACTCTTAAAAAATGAAATCAGTACTTGAAAATTATGGTAAATAGTCTTCCACTAACTCAGAACAGAATGTTTTATGGAAAACTATTTACCATAAATTTCAAGTACTGTTTTCAAGTACTATCTATCTATTCAGAGTCTGATTCAACAGTGATCACTGGACACCGTCACTCAGCAGGCACGTGCCATGTACACATTGTACAGTTTATTAAGACCATGGATAACATGAAATTCACTTCATTGTATTCTGAGGAAAGAAAGAAATGAATCAAGTTAAGAATAGTCAGCAAATGTTGGGTACTAACTCACACAAGCAAGCTAAGAAGTAAAATGTTATTGGAAAAAGCTTCCTTTTTCTATGAGAAACTTTAAAAGCAAAATATCAGAATATTGTTTTCATGACATGTTTGTTAAATTCAACCTTCTGCATTAGAGACATACAGTGAGTAAGCAGTTTTAATGTTATAGAAAGAGCAAGACTCTGGCATCAGAAAACCTGAGTTTAAACCTTGGCCGTGGCCAGAAACAATTGTGTAATGCTGGATATTGTCTTTTTCATCTATAATATGAGAACAGTCATACAGAGTTCACACAGTAGTATGATCAAACCATATAATGTATGCCAATGAAGTATAATCATGCATTTTGTAACGTATGCACTTTGTAACATATACAAGATCATGCTATACAAATAACTGTTATTGTTTTTGCAGGTTTATTGAGCACTCTCATTGCCTGCAAAACCTAAAGCAAGAGGCTGTAAACAAGAACTACAAATGCACATTCTTGTTGTTAAGTGCTATTAAGTCACTTCCGCCTCATCGCAACCCCGTATAGATTTTCCAAGGAGCAGCTGATGGTTGGAACCATCGACCTTGTGGTTAATAGTCCAAATGCACAGCCGTGTGGAAATATTTAGTGTATGGTCAAAAATGTCCTCAACTGCTTTGCAGTTACAAAATTAAGAAAGTAAAAATGAATACTTACTGACTTAAGGTCTCTGCATAAAAGAAAAGGAAAATGCCTGCTATAAACACAAGGAATAGCTTGAAATCCACGACTAGGGTAAAAGACAAAAAAGAGAGAAACAAAGATTTTTGTGTCAGTGCAGTATTAGGGGGAAAAAAAAATCAACTTATTGAAATGTCACCCCAGAAAAAAATGAATTAAGAAAATGAAGTATAATAAAAAACAGACTTACTGTTTTGATTCACTCTTATTGTATACAGACATATCTTGTCAAGAGGTATCACAGAGAAACATATAGGCTTTCCATATGGATTGATGATTATGGTTATTTCATTAGACTGCTTTGGCATCCACAAGTTATGAATCACACATGTGATAAAAGATAAAATGTTTTCTGGATACTGGCAATTATGTCTTTCTGTGATATCTACAATGTGGAACAAACCTGGACTGACAATCTTTACCTACAAAACAAGAACAAACAAAACAATAAACACAAAAGACTTTTTAGAATAAAGGAAACCTATGGTTGTCTTAAGGACTAAGGTGCGCCTGACCCAAGCCATGGTATTTTCAATAACCTCATATGGATGTGAAAGCTGGACAGTGAATAAGGAAGACCGTAGAAGAATTGATGCCTTTGAGTTGTGGTGTTGGAGGAGAATACTAAAAGTGCCATGGACTGCCAAAAGAACCAATAGATCTATTTTGGAAGAAGTGCAGCCAGAGTGCTCCTTGGAGGCCAGGATGGCTAAGCTTCGTCTCTCATACTTTGGACATATTGTCAGGAGAGAACAGTCGCTGGAGAAGGATGTCATGTTGGGTAAAATGGAGGGTCAGAGAAAAAGAGGAAGACCCCCAACGAGATGGATCAGCCAGATGGCATCACTGATGGCGTTAAGTGTTACAGCGGTAGTGAGTTTGGCCCAGGATCAGACATTGTTTCGTTCTGCTGTGCATGGGGACACTATGAGTCAGTTCTGACTCGATGGCACCTGACAACAACATGGTTGTCTGAGTAAAGAATACTCAGAAGTAATGGTCTGATCCCAGGAATGAACCTGTGGGATCAAACACCCACTTTTGAAAGTGAATGTTTCTTCCTGGGTTGTGGTTGATTTCACTCACTCTTTGAGCAAGCTACTCTAGTCAGGACACATGTGAAAAGGGCTGAGGCAGAGAGCAATAGCTGGCAGACTACTAACTGTATCATCAGTAAGGATACAGATGTTACATCATGTGCCATCATGATGCAAAACTCAGCCTAGAATGAATACCCTTTTCCCAGACAGCCTCTTGGGTAACTCATCACTTCTTTGAAATTTTTCCCGAATGTCACCTTCTCAGTGAAAACAACCCTGACCATTGTTTTAACACTTCAACTTGCATCCTATATCTTAATCCCCGTTATCCTACTCTGCATTTTCCTTTTTCATACTCTTACTAGGTTTTTTAACTTTCTTCTTTGTTACATTTATGGTTTAGTATCTGTTTGTATTTTCCCGAGAATGTAAATATACAAAGGGATTCTGTTTTCTTCACTGATGTATCCTGAGAACCTAGTACAGTTCCTAACCCACAGCATTTGCTCAATACACATCTGTTGAATGCTGAAGGAAAGTACTAGGCTGTTGGAAACAACAATCATCTGGTCTTACTTTAGATCAGAGGTAACACCAAACACTTTTTAATGGAGGAGACTGGGATAGCAATTATTTTGGAAAGTAGGAGGGTGGGTATTTCCTTGACCTTGGATGTTTGAACAGCAAGTCCACTATATTCACTTGTTGTTGTGAAGTGCTACTGAGTCGAGTCAGTTCCAATCCATAGCGACCCTGGATAGGGTTTCCAAGGAGTGGATGATGAGCTTGAACCGCCAACCTTGTGGTTCAAACCAGTCTTGCAGTCTAGCGTATTAATCCACAGCACCGCACACTTAGATGGCATATTTATTTGGACTGGCTTGGGTAGGGGTTGTTAAATACCATCAAGTCAGTTCCAACTCATAACGATTCTATGCACACCAGAATGAAACACTGCCTGATCCTGTGCCATCCTCACAACTGTTATTATTCCTGAGTCCACTGTTGCCACCACTGTGCCAATCATCTTGTTGGGGGGGTCTCCCTCTTTTTTGGCTGAACCTCCACTTTACCAAATATGATGTCCTTCACCAGGGACTGATGCCTCCTGATAACATGTGCATCTTGGCTTCTGAGAAGCATTCTGGCTGTATTTCTTTCAACACCAATTTGTTTGTTCTGGTGGTCCATGGTACTTTCACTATTCTTCTCCAACACCATAACTTAAATGCATCAATTCGTCTACAGTTTTCCTTATTCACTATCCAACTATAGCATGCATATGAGGCAACTGAAAACACCATGTCTTGGTTCACGCACACCTTAGTCCTCAAACTAATAGATTTGCTCTTTACTTTAAGAGATCATGTGCAGCATATCTGCCTAATGCAATGCGTAGTTTGATATCTTGGCTGTGGCTTCCATAACCATCAACTGTGGATTCAAGCAAAATGAAGTCTTTGACAATGTCAATCTTTTTTCCATTTATCATGATGTTATTTATTGGTCCAGTTGTGAAGACTTTTATTTTCTTGATTTTGAGCTGCAATTCATAATGAAGGCTACAGTCTTTTATTTTCATCAGCAAGTAGGGAAAAATTAATATCCCCTCCCATTTTAGACAATAAAATAACAACAAATCAAACTCATTGCCATCGAGGAGATTCCGACTCATAGTGATCCTATAGGACAGTGCAGAACGGCCCCAAAACGTTTCCACGGCTGTCATCTTTAAGGGGAAGTCCTGGTGTGGGTCTCTGGGATAATGCACTGCACAGCAAGATCAGTGTAAACTGCAAGGCTGGCAGTTCCAATTCACCAGCCGCTCCTCAGAAACCCTTATTCAGGGTCGTTATGAGTCGGAACCAACTTGAAGGCATTTAGCCTCAACAACAATCTTTAAGGGAACAGACTGCCACGCCTTTCTACATTGAGGCAACTGGTGGGTTTGAAGCTAGCAACTGAGTACTTAACCCCTGTGCCATCAAGACTCATCCATTGCCACTGAATTTATGTGCGTCATCGTGTGTGTATCAGCCTTCATACTGAAACACACATAGCTCTAGGACATGCAAAACCTACTTTCTATTTTTGAACGAGTTCCTTTTAATTTTAACCTGAGGCTTTCTGCTCCTGTGAAAATTTACAACCTAGGAAACTCAAGACAGGTTCATTGTGAGTTAGAACCGTCTAGACAGCCCACAACAAGAAGACGTGATTTACTTTCTTACCTGTACAGTTGACCATATGTATTTCCATGTCATTTGGATATGTTGATTGTAGCAGTAACAGACAGACTCATAACTTTTAATTAAATCCATTTCCTTTAAAACTTTACACCTCGGAACTGAAAGAAGGAAAAAATAACACATTTCTTAAATATTTAATTGTGCAGACTCTGATCTTTTAATTAATTTTGTCTACAAGGATAATGTTTGCAGTTTTAGATTTCTGTGACCCACAAGATCTTCGACATGTCATTTCTATTTAGCAGGAGACAGACAATCCTGTGTTAATACACATATGACATATGGGAGACACTATAAGAGCACAGAAAACAGGCCCTTTTTTCATCATGGAGTGGAGAGAAAGTGGAGAGTGGCTTCACAGGAAGGCTGACGTGTGAGCAGAACACTAAGAGAAGAAGTAGGAGATAATGAGATGGAAGCTGGTAGGAAGTGTGCACAAAATCATGGAGATGAGAGAAACCATGTAAGTAAGCCATCCACAGAGATGGAATGTAGAGAATACATGAGGACATTTCAACACCTGAAGCCAGAAGGTAAGGAGTAGAACTAATCCTGAAAGCAGAGCATTGAAGGACTTTAGGGAAGAATCAGTCTCGGCAGAAAACTGTTGAACACTCAGGGTTTAACTGAAAAAGGTTCAGTGGAGATGTGGACAGATGGGTGAGAGTCCCAGGAATGAGCAAAGGCAGGAAGTCTTTAATATCATCAACCTGAAATGGACAGGGGAGGACTTGATGTTACTGGAGCTAGAAGAATGATTATCTAATAGAACATAGTCAGAAGTTCAGTGGAATGGCGGGTGAGGGTATTTAGAACCTCAACCTCTTTCTCCCACCCTTCTGTCAGTGCCTCTCATTGGTCAAACCCAACAGGAAGCCAGAGCACAAAGGAACCCAATGATGCAGCCCACAGATGTCAGCTTCCAGGCACAGAGCAGGGTTTGCAGGAACAGAGACTAATCAGCTCAATGATGGAATAACAGGAGCACATTTGTGTTTTAAAAAGAGCAGTCTTTAAGAAGTGTAGAATACTAGATGAGAGGAATACAGCAGAACCACTAAGGAGGCAGCCACAGTGATCTAAGCAAGAAATGAACTAAGGTAGTGAGAAGGAAGAAAGAATAGATTAAACACGGGAACTCTGGTGGTACCACCATGAGTTAAGCACTAGACTACCAACCAAAAGGTCAGCAGTTCAAGCCTACCAGTTGTTCTGTGGGAGCAAGATGAGGTGGTCTATTCCCATAAAGATTTACACCCTCAGAATCCCTATGGAGTAGTTCTACTTTGCCTATAGCTTCACTATAAGTCAGAATCAACCCGATGGCAGTGTGTTTAGAAAGCAGAATCAGCAGACTTTGGAGATTCATTAGAAGAAGAGCAAGAAGCTGACATGAAGGTTTCTGGGGAGTGGACAGGTGGTGAGGCCCTTCCCCACGGTAAGAAATACTTGGGAAGAAGCAAGCTTGTGAGTGGAAAGGACAAATGAGTTCAGTTTTGGGCAGACTGGCTGGTGGAACTAAGTGAAGATGGAGGTGTAGCTCAGAAGCAATTTGGCTACAGATAAATGTTAGAACACAAGCGAGTGTGTGTATTATATAATATATAACATAATATAATCAATATCTTAGAACACAATATAGTATCCAGAGAGAGGAGCAATGTGCGTGTGGCATTGTGCAGAGAGTCGATATGGTAACCAACACAAGAAAGTTAAGACTACTGGGCCTCATTTTATTCTGTGGCCATCCTTGCATTCAAACTTGAAGGGAAGCAGGATGAAAGTCCTAAATTATTCTGGATCCCAGATGAGGTGACACCACTACATCTGTCCAACAGGAAAGAGTAACGAAGAACACTTATGGGCACACACAGAAATGAGCCTTACACCCAGCCTGTCAACGCCTCTAAGGAAAATGTGGTCAGCTGTTGCCCCAGAAAAACCTGAACTGGAGCAAGAACAACCTGCCACACTAAAACTGGGGAAAGATTGGGCAACCAGTAATAACTACTCAACAATTACATCCATTTAAGGACTAGTACTGAATAAACTCAGATAGGTTCCTGTCCTAGCAAGGACGATCCGTACCATTAATCTGTCGAAAAAGCAATGACAGACTTGGAAAAGGGTGTTGTGAACATTCACAACCTCCTGAAATACATTGAACTTCATAAAAGCCAGGGTCCTCAGGGAAATTGACATCAAGGTCCAGCACAGTCCACTGTGACACTGTATGATCATTTAGTCTTAACATTGTCAGGAGAGATGCTTAAGCTTTTATATATACACATTTGCAGAGCTTGAAAGTCTGATATCCAAATATGAAAGGACTTCGAAGTCTAGGGGAAATGGAATTGAAAGATACTGGAAATTTTCCATGTATTCTTTTAAGTCTTCTTGTACAAGAGCCCAGGTCTCAAAATAGCATGAGAAGGAAACTCTAGAAGACCTCTGTACCATATACCATTCTACAATGCACTCCTGCATGGCTTTGTCTAAACACAGGAGAATGTAGAACCAGTGCTACAAAACACAAAGCAAGAATGCTGAGGTGCACTCTCAGGTATAACTGAGATGCAAACGACTCCTTGTCAAGGGCTTCACAAGGAAAAGGCCAACCCCAGGACATAAAAGAGTTGGCACCAACCACAGAAAAGATGAATGTCTTAGAAGGCAGTGTAAACCTGAAAGAACATAAGCAAAGATGAGAACACATTGTTGTTATGTTGTTAAGTGCTTTGGAGTCAGTTCTGACTCATAGCCACCTTGTACAAGGTTTCCAAATAGTGACTAGTGAGTCTGAACTGCTAATCTTGTGGTTCAAACTGGCATGTGGTCCAGCTTTTATTCTACAGTGCCATACCAGAACATACTAAAACTCAGTAAAAGCCCTTGGATAGTGAGCAGCAGAGGCAAGATGAGAACAAGGTCTCCTGGCCCATCATCCAGTATCCCTGGCTCTGTCTTCACATGGCCTCCTGTGGAGAGTTTCAGCAGGAACCAGGGTTATAATGGGGCCTAGAGTTGAGAACTTTCTAGATCCACGATAAGGGAGAGAAGGTTTTTTCCTACAGTAGGAAAGGAACCCATTCTAGTGGGGCAAGACATGGGAAGAGCATGAGGACCCCAGGCCCCAACAGCCCCAGACTGCTTTCTGTGTGCCCTGACAGCTAGTCTTGTTTGTACCTCCAGGTCTCTTCCCTGAAATCCCTCTTAGCAGACTCCTTTGCTTCAGAACCACGTTAGTGGGCTGAAGGGATATCCGCTTGGTGAGGCCGGAGCTTTGCAAACAAATCTGCCTTGACATGAAATTGTCTCCATCTGGTTTCCTAAATCATTTCATACCTGTAATTCTTAAGAACAAGCTGTTAGACAATCTCAGTACTGTGCAATCATTTGAATTCCAGAGTAAATGTTTCTCTGGTGTTCAAGTCTTCTTGTGATTGGATTATTGTAAGGAACTCCTCCTGCCTGCCAATGGTTAGTGTGCAAGGCTGTTAACCAGAACACTGGAGGTTGGAGTCCACTAACAGGCACCTCAGGAGAAAGGCCTGGTAACCTACTTCTGCAAAATCAGCATAGAAAACCCTGAGTACAGTTCTACCCTGATACCCATGGGCTCACATGAGGCACAGTCAACTTGATAGCACCTACTGGTCTTAATAGCTTTCCAGATGGTCTCCCTGCTTCCAGAGTTGCCTTATGACTGCCCCTACAACCTTTTCTCCACTTGCATATAGGGTTTTTTCCCAGCACAAATCTTTAAAAAATATCACTCAGAGTACACCAGTAACCTTTTCAAAATCCTTCAAAGACTTCCCATCCCACCCTAATAAAATCTGTGCTCTCTTTTATGCCCCTGTGCATCTCCATGACCTCCTCTCCTACACTTCCCTCCCACTCCGGCTGCTGCAACCACACCAACCTTCCAGCTCCTCCTCAAAATGCCAAGCCCACCTCCGCCTTAAGTCCTCATACTTGCTGTTTTCTTGGCTTGCAACTCACTTCCCTCAGATTTTGGCAGAACTTGCTTCTTCCGATAATTTATGTCTTTGCTCAAACGTCACCTTTTCAGGAAGGCCGTTCTCTGACCCCACTATCTAAATTAGTACACCCTAACTACCTTCGTCTCTTTTCTTGTTACTCTGCATTTTTTTTTTTTTTTGTCAGATTGCATATGTATTTATTAGCTTATACTCTGTTAGTCTCCCCATGAAGTCGGGAATAATACATGTTCATTGTTTTATACCCAGCATTTAAAAAGCACTGAATTAAATACCTGTCTTGTGTTTGTTGTAATTTGAGAGGATTAGTGGGTTATTTGAGTATGCGTGCCTAGCCAGTGAAAACCTGGTCAGTCTTAATAAGCGCCCTACCAGAACAGTAAGCATCATCAAAGGAGGTGCCCGCTGGCGCTCCCTTTGAGACAACCTGATGAAATCGGGCACCTTTTCCAGTCTGTGCCATTGCCACTTTACCCATAGAACCCATGACAGGAAGTATGAGGGCTACTCTGGAACCACAGACTCCAGCTCTCCCTACCCCCACCCCACAAACAGTGGATCCTTAGTAGAGGGTTGAGAGCTGTACCCATAATACCCCTTGAACGAGGGGGAAGCAAGAGGTGGTAATACATTTGTCTTTGTTTTACTCTTATATGGTATATTAGTGAATTCTGGGTAAGGGATCTTCTGGTTAGAAAACATGCTCAAATTCCACCTTGGTCTTGACGTAGGCTGTTCTGAATACCAATGCCTACAGAAATACTACTAAACACACATTTCCAACCAGGTTCCCCTCTGGAATGCTCTAGACTGGATTCTAGCCTTTGTTTGATGTAGAATTTGTACAATGTATGTAATGTCACAGACATTTCATGGTGTCCTCAGACTGCCAGGACATTTCATGGTGTCCTCAGACTGCCTTCCAATCTTATCACCCCTCCTGCTAATCAACCCAACCACATAGAAATTCCTAAACATCCAAGGGACTAGAAACCCAGTCACAAATGTAGCTCCAGGCAAATCCATGGAAACTTTAAGCCACAAGTTAGGTTAGTAAGACTAGGCATGAGACAGTGGCTTGTGACAGTCTACTGCCTACTTACAGAGAACCAGATCTTT